ACTTCTGCAAAAAGGAAAGAAAAACCAGCTAGGATCTTGATAGGTATTGTGTTAAATCTGTAGGTCAATTTGGGGAGTATTGTCATTATAACAATATTATGTCTTGAGGACTTCAGATCAGAACACAGGATGTCCTTCCATTTATTTAGATCTTCTTTCAGTGATGTTTTGTAGTTTTCAGTGTACGCATCATGAACATCTTTTGTTAAATAATTTATTCCTATTTTATTCTTTCTGATGCTGTTGTAAATGAAATTATTTTCTTAATTTCAATTTTGGATGGTTTGTTGCTACTGTATAGAAGTACAATTGATATTTGTCTATTAATCTTCTATCCTACAACCTTACTGAAGTCATTTATTAGGTGTTTTTTTATGGATTCCTTGGGATTTTCTATAAACGAGATCATGTTATGTGCAACATAGTTTGTACTTCTTCCTTTCCAATCTGGCTGCCTTTTATTTATTTTTCTAATTGCCTAATTGAATGTTAAATAAAAATGGCAAGAGCAGACATTCTTGTCTTTTTCTTGATCTTGGGGGGAGAGAGCTTTCCATCTTTCACCATCGAGCATGTTGTCAGCTGTGGGTTTTTCATAGATATACTTTATCAGGTCGAAGAAGTTCCCTTATTTCTAGTTTGTTGAGTGTTTTTACTATGAAAGGGTGTTGGATTTTGTCATACTCTTTTTCTATATCTATTGAGATGATCCTGTGATTTTTTTTTTTACCTTTATTAATATGATGTGACCCATTACTTTTTATTGCTGAGTAGTGTTCCATTATATGCATGGTTTGTTTATATTAACTCATCAGTTGAAATACATTTGGGCATTTCTACTTTTTGGAGATTGTGAATAATGTGGCTCTGAGCATTCATGTGGTCATGTTTTTATTTCTCTTAGGTAAAACCTAGGAAAGTGATCACTGGGTCATATGGTAAGGATTACAAGAAACTGCCAAACTTATTTTCCAAAGGGGCTTACCACTTTGCATCCCTACCAGCTCTGTATGAGAGGTCTGGTTGTTCTATATCCTCACCTAGACTTGGTATTGTCCCTCTAGTACCTATTTGAGTGAGTGTAGGGTATCTCATTGTAATTTTAATTTGCATTTCCCAATGATGAGTTATTTTGAACATCTTATATATTTTTGGTAAAGTGTCTATTCAAATCTCTTTCACATTTCTTTTTTAAATTGAGTTGTTGGGGCACCCGGGTGGCTCAGTCAGTTAAGCATCTGCCTTTGGCTCACGTCATGATCCCAGGGTCCTGGGATCGAGCCCCATATCAGGCTCCCTGCTCAGCTGGAAGCCTGCTTCTCCCTCTCCCTCTCCCTCTGCCCCTCCCTGCCGCTCGCATGCTCTGTCTCTCTCAAATAAATAAATAAAATCTTTAAAAAAAAATAGAGTTGTTTATTTTATTGTTGAGTCTTATTATTGAAAGTTCTTTATTCTGGATATAAGTCCTTTATACAAAGAAATACTTTGCAGATATTTTCTACCTATTGTTTATCTTTTCATTTTCTTAACAATGTCTTTTTGAAGAGCAAACATTTTTAATTTTGATGAAGTCCAATTTCTTTGTTTTATGCTTTTTGTGCCCTAGTAAAGAAGCCTTTGCCTATCCCAGGGTCACAAAGGTGTTCATTCGTGTTTTCTTCTACAATTTTATATTTAAGGTTTTACATTTATATCTTTGATTGACATCAAGCTAATTTTCATGTTATCTCCTAAGGTTGAAGTTCTCTTTTTAATTTTTTGCATACAAATAACCAATTATTCCAGCCCCAGTATTTCTTCAAATACTTTTTTTTTTTAAGATTTTATTTATTTATTTAATTGACAGGGGGGAGAGACAGCGAGAGAGGGAACACAAGCAGGGGGAGTGGGAGAGGGAGAAGCCGGCTTCCCACAGAGCAGGGAGCCCGATGCGGGGCTCGATCCCAGGACCCTGGGATCATGACCCAAACGGAAGGCAGCCGCCCAACCAACTGAGGCACCCAGGTGCCCCTCAAATATTTTTTCCAGCCCTTTCCCTTTTTCCTCTCTTTCTGGGGTTCCACTATATGTATATTAGGTCACTGGAAGTTGTCCCACACATCACTGACGTTCTAGGGGTTTTTTTCTGTGTTTCGTTTTTGATAGCTTCTAATTTATGTCTCTGAATTCACTAATCTTTTGCAGTGTCTAATCTGCTAATCCCATCTAGTGTGTTTATTTATTTCAGGTGTTATCTTGTTCATCTCTGTAAAGTTTGTGTCCCTTGACCAAATGTAGCATGTTTATAGTAGCTGTTATCATATCCTTGTCTCTACTTCCATTATTATTGTAACTTGGGGGTCTCTTTATTAAAGGATCGTATTTCCCCTTTTCTGCATGCTGATTATTAGGTGCCAGACATGTTGTTGAGCATTGGATTTATTTTATTCCTTTAAAGTGTTGGACTCTAGGGGCGCCTGGCTGGCTCAGTCAGTAGAAAATCACTTCCATCACTGTTGTGAAGCCTCTCGATTCCTCAACTGTAAAATAGGGATAATGCCCTCTGAAGACTGGGGTGATGGTCACAAAAAAATATGGGGGCACCTGGGTATCGCAGGTCGGTTAAGCTTCTGCCTTTGGCTCAGGCCATGATTTAGGGGTCCTGGGATCTAGTCCCACGAGGGGCTCCCTGCTCGGCAGGGAGTCTGCTTTTCCCTCTGGCCCTCCCTACCCCCCGACTTGTGTTTTCTCTCAAATAAACCAATAAAATCTTTTTAAAAAATGAAACTTGAAAAGTCACGTTCCAAGATAGGAACAATCCACCGTTGGAAGAAAAGCAGCTGTAGCAAAAACAAAGAAGTGAGTGGTCATCTCATCCAGAGCAGGAGACAGAGCTCCTGCTGGTCCCACGGAGAGGTACACTTACTTCCAGGCTCACGTGCAGTGCTCACCCGGCAGAAGGTACTTAACTCCTCCCTCCACGTTGGGGCTGGATTTCACAAGAAATAGCATTCCCCAGACTCTGTGGGGTTGGCCAGCTGCAAACTGCACCTCACAGCATCATTCCTACAGGTGTTAGTGTGCAGTCCAGTAGTGCCAGAACTTTGCAGGCTTACAGTCAGTTTCTCCCAGAACTGTAACCTGTAGCACAGGCAGGGACAGAGGTGGGTGCTCCTCGCTTCTTTCTTATCACAGGAGACGTGACAGAATTAAGCACCAGTTATTTAAAGGAACCTTCTCAGCCAGCTACCTCCTCTCAAGTTGGTTTCACTGTTTCTCATCACCTTAGGGCTTTTTTGGGGGGTGGGGGAGGCAAATCTAAGCAGGGCTGTCTACGGTGTGGTGCTAGGGGAATTCCTGATTTCCCAATCTTGTCCCAAGTAGCCTCTCACTGACAAAGAACCAGAAACAGTGTTTGCTTAGAAGTAATTTTATGTTTGTGTCTTTGGGTTGTCATGTGTTTATCCACAAGCATTTCCTGACTTCCCCCCTGTGTTGGGCAGAGGCAGGGATGGGATGGTGGGTGGAGTCCAGAAGTAAAAGTTGGTCCCACCCGGTGCCTGATGAGCTCATGTTTAGCCGGCCCAAATCCTTTCAGAGCTCCCGCCCAGAGCAGGCTCCCAAGCCCAGGGATTATGTTATTTTTTGGGGTGACAAGATAGTTTTCAGATGGTCTTCTTGGAAGCTCATCGTCCTTCCCCAGCAGCGGTTAAGGAATTCTGTGCTTGAAAAATACATGCCTTTGAAAATACGCTGGGGGCAAGGGAAGGAGGGAATATTTTCAAAGGGATGTGTGTCAGGGCCACGCCTGTGTCAGCAGGGCATGAAGGGGTTCAGAACCCTGCAAACGCAAGAATTAAGCAGCCAGCACCAGTTCAGCGTGCTTCTCAAGACAGTCTCCTGATCCTTCCGCCTGGTCACCCTACATGTTTGTTGTTGGAGGGGCCCCTGGGGTCAGGATTACAGTGTATTGGGAGGGACCAAGGATTAAATAGAAGAATGGAATTTCCCTTCGATAAGGAGAAGTCAACATTTATTAAATCAGTTGATTTGTTGTTGTTGTTATTGTTGAAGTTCCTATGGTTTCCTTTGCTTCCCAAATATATTTTAATGACAAATTGCATAACAGGACATTAACATTCACAGAGCGAACAAATTATCATCCGTGATTATTTTTAGAACCGGTTTATCAACTGTTTGAGGTAAGAACTTTGGTTGGATCTGATTACAGATCTCTCAGACCAGAGCTACACTTCTTTGAAATAGAAGAAACTGGCCACCTTGCTCTGCATTAAAGGTGAAATCTGCTTTATATTTTCTCACCCCCTCCTTTTTTAAGGAGGGTAGAGGTTCTGGAACTTTTCTTGACCTACTGGTGTCAGACAGTTCGGAGCCTTCTCAATATGTGAAAGAGAAATGCAGCCATTCATTCATTCATTCATTCACTCATTCAGTTGAGGCAGAGGGAGCATGTGCAAGGTCAGGCAGAATGGAGAAACTCAGGCTGATTCTCATGGCAAGTGAGCATGAGCGATCTCATTGCCATTTACACAGTAGTATCCTAGTTAAGTTATTCCATAGCAGGGAAACTATTTTTTTCTGTTTGGCTGGCCTTTTCAATCCTGGGAAGGATCCTTCCCTCCTCATGGGTGCCCATTGCTACTTAGAAGTAGAACAACTTCATGGTGATGACTGGGGCTTTGGCTTCCCCTATAGCCATCACTGCGGAGTAAAGGAAATGCTGTCTTTGGGCCCGCACACTTACTCCCTCTTGCCCATTTTACTTTGGCCAGTTCAGCACAAAATCAGGCTATCTGGATTCATGACTTAATGGTAAAGGCCAGGAGCTTTTGGCTGAACACTAGATGAAGGGGTTGACTTAATGATTAGGGGCTGTGGTGTACAGAAACAAACACCGCCAAACACTAGAGTCACACACATTCCACACGGCAAGGTGTTTACACCACGAGGAGCACAGATGAGCTCAGATGAGCTCGGGTGGTTTTTAAAATGGAGTTCCTGGTAGGTGACGGTTGAGATTTCGCTGCCAAGCTGGGAACCGGGGAGATGGCCGAGAATGATCCCAAGACCGTGCAGGATCTCACCTCGGTGGTGCAGACACTCCTGCAACAGATGCAAGATAAATTTCAGAGCATGTCCGACCAGATCATTGGAAGAATTAACGACATGAGCAGTCGCATTGACGACCTGGAGAAAAACATTGCACACCTCATGACGCAGGCTGGGGTGGAAGAGCTGGTGGGTGAAAACAAGATCCCTGCCGCACCAAAGAGTTGAAGCAGGTCAAGCTGAGAGAAGACTAAATGGCTTTTTGAAGCAACTGCTGTGTGTAGACAGGTTTTCTACCCTAAAGTGTATGTTCTTCTTACCACGTACCATATAGTCTGTAGAGTGATTCTCCCCCCAGTTTCTTGAACACGGTAACTCCACATCTTGGACCTTGGTCAGTTGTGCTGTTAAATCTTAAACACTAAAACTTGGGCGGTTCCTTCATAATTAATTAATTAATTAATTAATTAATTAATTAATAAAAATGGAGTTCCTGCATAGCAGCATTAGCATCACCTGGGAATTTGCTAGAAATGCGATCGGGGGGGCCCTGCCCCAGACCTACTGAATCAGGACCTCTGCAAGAGAGCACACTAAAGTCTGAGTACCTCTGGTCTGAGGTAGCAGCACAACTGCCCTTCTGGAAATACGCTCAGGGACGAGGGTGCCAGGTGAAACTACCCTCTTATAACTGTTATTTTCTGATCTCTCTCTGCTGAGTACTTCGAGTTAAATTCACCTAAATTAAATGCTCTTATGGTGAAACTCCACTGTATCCATAATTATGTGGCAATGGTATCATCCCACGTTTTTTCCCAGAATGTCCTTATTAAGGCTATTTAGATTAACATGCATCTTTTAAGATTATGTTGATTTTTTTTTTTAAAGAAATTTTAACCAGTCTATATGAGTAGCTCAGAAAATCAAAGATGAATGACCCACAGGCCTGCCCTTCGAGGCTATGTTCCTCCTCTGGGGAGAAGACAGACTTCCCTAAATAACAAAACAGGTTTGTGACATATGACGCTGTCCCTGCTCAAAATATGTGCTGCTTTTAAATCCTTTTTCAGCAGCCGGCTTGATGTTCGCACCCTACCTTGGTTGGTTAGGGAGTGGCGGCTTTGAAATTCAGTTACTTCAGCAATCACCCTTCAGGTTGCGGACACAACACTGAAATCTGCAACTTGCCAAAGAACCAAGAACTGCTAAAATAACTCATCTGAGATTACCAGAGGCGATCTGCTTGCTGCCCTGAGGGACTCAGTGGAGTCCCTGTGCTTCCTCCGTAGGAGACCTCTGTTCAGGGTAGTCATGCAGTCCAAACAGATCACACTCAGGAAACTGTTACCAGCTTCCCCAAAACTGCAGTTCCCTTATGCCGGTCCCTGGCAAAGCTTTCACAATCAGACTATAACCAAAGGATACTATGGCAGATTTTTCTTAACGCTGGATGTCTTTAAAGAACTACCCTTTTAGGATGACACTATGGATTTACTACCTTTTTTGGTGTTAAGATAGCTTTTCTTTCATGAAAATGATAATTGATGGTGGGTTTTTAACATCCTTCCTTGACAAGATAAAAAGTTGGCAACGTGTACCAGTCTGTCACAATGGTTTTTTTTTTTAAAGATTT